CAAAGTCTCTGGTCCATCTGGTCTGTGTCAACCACATATTGTAAATTAATCTAGTCCCATTTGCCAGTATTTGGCCCATATCCCTCCTAAGCCCTTTCTGTTCATATACTCATCCAGATGCCTATTAAATGCTGTAATTGTACCTGCCTCCAACACTTCCTCTGGCAGCTCATTCCATAAATACATCACCCTCTGCATGAAAAAGTTGCCCTTTAGGTCTGTTTTATGTCTTCCCCCTCTCACCTTAAATCTATCTCTCTAGTTTTGGATTCCCCACCCTGCAGAAAAGACCTTATCTATTTACCCTATCCATGCCCCTCATGATTTTATAAACCTCTCTAAGGTCACCCCTCAGTCTCTGACAGCCCAGGCAAAATTGCCTCAGCGTATTCAGCCTCTCCCTGTAGCTCAAATCCTCCAATCCTGGCAACATCCTGGTAAATCTTTTCTGAACCCTTTCTAGTTTCGCAACATCCTTCCTTTAGGAGGGAGACCAGAATTGCACGCAGTACTCCAAAATGGCCTAACCAATGTCCTGTACAGCCGCAACATGAAGTCCCAACTCCTTACTCAATGCACCGACCAATCAAGGTATGCATACCAAATGCCACCTTCACTATCCTATCTACCTTGCTTTTCCAAATACATGTAAATCCTGTTCCTCAGAATCTCCTCCAACAACTTGCCCACCACTGACTTTTATAGTTCCCTGGCTTTTCCTTACAACCTTTCTTAAGTAATGGCACCACACTAGTCAACCTCCAGTCTACCGGCACCTCAGCTGTGGCTGTTGACGATACAAATATTTCAGCAAGGGGCCCAGCAATCTCTTCCAAAGCTTACTTGTGTAATCAGGATGCAAATTAAATAGTTGACTTTAAAAAATGCCAGATTTACAGCGTTAGAGTTTTACATACAAAATAGAGACAACTTTATTGTATTACATTATTTTACTTGTGAATCACTCTATTCTTGTACGTCTCCACCCCAACCCAGCCCTATGAACACATTTCCTGCAGTTTCTGGTCATCGGAGACTGTCCAGGTTAAGACTAGAGAATTAGGTCCAGCTAGAGGCAGATAAACAGTGCCACTTGGATGTCAGAGATAAGAAGTTGGGTATAAAATTGACTTTGTTTGCTCAAAATAATTGTAAATGATTACATTAGCTGGCTTTCTGTGCAAAGGAAGACCTATGTTTTTGTCATTATGTTTTGAAACTTTAACCTCCTTTTGTCTAACTCAACAGCTTAACTAATGCTCTTGTAGCAATTATAGCTCTTGCCTCACTTTGATCAATGTGGGACCTGTCTTATCCCTAACAGCCTCTTTGATAATCACTATAAAATACTTGTTAAATATCCATGGAAATAGAGTTACCATCTACCATCTTGTTATTTTAGACTCTCCAGTCTGGCCTCTTAATTGGAATTTAGAAATGAGGTGGCCATTCTGAGCCAGGGAGGAAAATCATGGGTTATAGTAAAGGCCCCTGATTCTCAGCACATCCCTGTCAGCTCTTACAGTCGATCGTGTGTTATTTTTTGTTCCATGTCAAGATTTACAAAACAATTCTTCAACAATTGCAGAAAGGTCATAATAAAACAATAATTCCCATTGTTGACATCAGATTAGAAGTATCATTGAGTAGATTGGATCAATAATATTAAGGTGATCAACAATATGCTGCTGTGTTAGTTCAATGTGCCCTATACATTAACTCACTGTAGTTAAGTAAACCAGAGAGTACAAGTTTTAGTTTCACAGCATCATGCAATCTTGTTAATTTCACAAGAAAGCATGCCATTAGCTTGTTACCATCTGTACCATGTTACATTGATTTTTGTGACAATCTTATCAACATGTTCTGCATTTGCACCGTGTAAACACAGTGGCAGTGAACTCATTTAGAGAAAAGATTCAATACCAGTGCTTGCAACCTAGAAAAACGATGCAAGATCTGGACCATCTTTATTTGATACTTTTCTATGTACATACTTCGTGCAACGATGTAATCCTAATTAAAGAGTAATCTTTATAGGGCAGAAAGGTCAAATGACTGCTGAGCAATAAAGTGGAATAATTGGACATCATGGGACTTTACTGTCAGAGTGAGGCCTTGGAGCTCTCAAATGTCTTTCTGTATGTACAGCTTTTGAGGGTCCCAAGAACAAGGGCTGAATTGTTCATAGTCTTATCTATTTCCTTGATCAGCAAGTCTGAAGTCTCCATGATCATTGCTGCTCGCTCCAGTATATTTTCAGTATGTTCTACTACATAGCATATTATCATGATATTTCAATTTTTCAAAAAAAAACTCATTGAAACACCAAGGTAGAATGAGATAATAGGTACCTAGGCATAAGGACAATATTCAAATCAATCTAAAAGTCCCTTCAGAATCATGTACAAGGTAAACCTTGTTGCTGAATTTGCAATGAGCTTTTCTGTCCTACAGCTTATATTCCACAATTTCCGGTCACAGTGTGTATTCCAGGTTGCATCAATTCATTATGAAAACAAAAACTTTTACTCATCTCACCTTTTTTCCTTTTGGTAATTACTTTAAATCTGTGCCCTTTGCTCTTGATTTTTCAACAAGTGGGAACAGTTTCTTCTCATCAACTCTGTTCAGATCGCTTATGATTTCGAATAGCTCGATCAAATCATCCTTTCTCTAAGGAAAACAGTCCTAACTTATACCATCTATCTTCATAACTAAAGATCGTCATTGCTGAAACCATTTCATCAATCCTTTTTGCACCCTCTGATGCCTTCGAACCCTGCAGAAGTGTAGCAGTTTTTTTTGTGGTACTGAAATTTAATATCCAACCCCATGCAACCAAATGGCTCTAAAATGATGCCAGGGATATGGCTTCACCATATGGCTTTTCAACCAGATTTCCAAAGAAGCACATTCCTGATGGTTGCTGCAAGCTTGCCAATAGGAACTGTTGCTACTAGCTACTAATCTCCTCACAACTTTGTGGCTTTTTAAAAACAAAATTTGAACCTCAAAATTTCCCAAAGGTCAGAAGCGGCAGCGCGGAAACTGACTTTCTTTCCCTACACCTGAAGCAGAGATGATGCTGTTTGCCACTGTTTACATGAACTTCACAGGACAGATGGTTGACATTGGTTGCTGATTTTTTTTATGGCTTATTATATTTTAGCTATACCAGCTCACTTTCCAGGAACAGACTCACATCATTAAGCCTAATGTGATCTGATGTATTCACCAATTTTGCATGTTTATAAGTTAAAATCCTATATTCTTGGCACTTTTGATTTGTGAACAGATATTTCCCAGAAAAACTAGGTAAGCTCATCTAGTCTGAATCTTCAAGTTTGATCCGCACTTGTGCTTCTATAACATGCAGGGGAAGGTGGTGGTGAAATAATCAAGTCACTGGACAAATAATGCAGAGGAGTATGCTTGGGAAAGTCTGGAACTTAAAGCCAGTTTCATTAATAGTGCCATGAAGCTGCAAACAATTGTCATAACCCATCTGGCTCACCAGGCAAGGAAATTTGCTATGTGACTCCAGACCCAAAGTATCGTGGTTGATTCTTAATTGATGTCTGAAGTTGCCTAGCAAGCTGCTTATTTCAACAGCAGTTAGGAATAGGCAACAAATGCCAGCAACACCCACATCCCATGAATGAAGAGAAAAGGTGTTCAGTTCTGGTGATTTTAATTTAGAATAATTACATAGAGAATATTTTGCATCTTTGGCTTCACTTTGAAATTGTACTTTAAACTGAAGATACTAGAATTTCTACTGAATTTCTATTAAAAGCAGAAGCACTCTTAAGTTAGCCTAATTTTCATTTCATTAAAGTATATAACTGAATTTGTACACTTAATGAAAAGAATATTAAATTGAAGAATCTCCAATTTTCTAAATGTTAGAAGACATTTGCCAGCACAAGTAAAAGCATTGGTATCAATGGGGCAGAATTTATAAAACGGAAACATTCAGTCTTGACCAGCAAAATTTAATCATCCATGTAATAGTATATTAAGATGGAAGTTGAATATTTTAAGAGGGATGAACAGTGTCACTGACTTTTTTTTAATATGCATGTATTAAAGAAGACATTCAACTAGTGAAAATTCTGAGGAAGAGATGGCCAGCAATGCTGCTTCCTGGGATTTTACAGAGCCAGGCCAAAGAGTGAATTGTTCTTGTTCGAGGTAGGATGTTACTTCATATTTAGCAAACATACTTTATGCATTGCTCTGATTTTGCAAGTCTGTTGATGGCATTTTGAATATTCTTCATTCCCTGTCTCCAGACTGCCTTACTTGAAGCCGAAGCACCACATAGAAATCTCCAACTGGATAGATGAGGCTGGATTGCACAGCAGATATTTCTAGCTATTCTCCCGCACCCCACCCCCACCCCCACCCCCCTCCAAATCTTGCAACAATTCTGCTTGTTTAATGGCACAAAATGACTTGAGTGAGAAAAGCTAGTCAAGGTGACTTTCCTCTTCCTTCTCTGTCTTCTCACCTATTCCATCCCTGCTCTCAAACTAAAAACTCCCATTCCCAAACTTCCTTAAGAAAGGAGCATCACCCCATTGTAATGTGAGAAGTATCACTTCAGATAGTTGAGTATGGATCTTGGGTAATCTCAGGTTCACATTCGCTACTACTTTTGAGTAGTAAACTTTCAACTGCTAGTTCCAAGAGTGTTCATTTTGATTAAACCTAAACAGTCAAGTATTGTAAAATTTGTACATCGAGGTTATGATATTGTGAGCATTGAATCTTTTTATTATTCTTTAAAACTTAATTTTAGTCTGCCCAAAGCAGCTAGACTTAAACCGCAAATAGCTATTTCTTATTGATGGGAATATGCTGGTCAATAGAATTATAGTAATAACATTCAATTTGAAGTAATACTTTGATTGAATCATGACCAGACCAGATAAAATGTTAAAGACATTTGAAACACTAAAGGTTGTAAGCAGTGACGTGGCATAGAATAACTGTTGGGAGGAATCATTGTAGCATTCACATTTACTGTGACCATTTTCTGAAAGAAAAACTGGTACTAAAATCAATTGACTGTTATGCTTATGGTAAATATATAGGTTTAGTGGTATCAACCAGTGTTTCTTGGGGGTCAGGTGCAGTTGACGTGAGACATTGTCAACTCAAAACTTGCTTTACTGCATTCTTGATTTGGGTCAGGTTCCATTCCATTTGCCATGATGCTCTGTTGTAAGTAGCAGCTGAAAATGGTATCCTCATACACCCTCTAGTTGTTCATTAGTGTAATTTAGTACTATTTTGATAATTAACCATTCAAAAAAATGAAAGGAGAGTCATCGGTTTTTGATAGTTATGCGTGAATTATGAACTTGTGAAAAACATCCCAAAATATTTCATTTCATGGTTTTTCTCAATCCCTTTCTGACCTGGTGCTGCTTGAAACTGCTTCAGAAATTGCTATTATTCTCCCGTCATTCCCTTATCAAAGAACTAAAGCTGTGGTTCAGGGTGACTTCTTCCTAGAATAGAATACAGGGAGATTTATCGTATGGGACTTCGTAGTACCATTAACTTAGCGGGAGACAATTTCCCTTCTTGGCCCAAAGTTAATTACATTTACTTGTGTAGAAAAAAGACTTTTTTAAATTCTGTCTTTTCCACTATGCCTTTCTCAACTGTAAGACAGTCCCATATGCTGTACGATTAATTAAATGTTTTGAAATGTACTGTTGTAATCTAGGAAACAAAGCACTCAATTTGTGTGCAGCAAGTTCCCACAAGCAGAAGTGGGATAATGATCTGTTTTGTGATATTGATTGAGAGATAAGTTTTAAATAGGGCAACTGGGGATAGCTCCTGTACTGTGCTTTGAAGTAGTGCCATGTGATCTTTAATGATCGTCTGAGACGTTAGTCGGGCACTCAATTCAAAGATTCTGAAAGAAGCTCTTTCAAGACACTGCCACTCCTTTAGTACAGTCATGGAGTTTGTTTTTGTGCTCCACTGCTGGAGTGAACCCACAGTCTTCTGCCTAAGGACAGTAGTGTTGCCAATTCTGATATAGCAGTGGAGATGGCTTTATGCCAAATGTAGTATTCAATAACATAGCTGTCCAGCACTGTCAGAGAACAGGCACTAACGTTTCGTTTGTGCAATATCTGTGCTGTGGATCATCCGTTTTCTTTGAGCTTCAGCCACTTTGCACCGTTGATATTGGTACAGACTCTAAATGTGAAATAAATCTTAATTTTTATAATTTTTTGTAGTGCTGTTTCAGTATGGAGTTTGAATATATGCGGTTAAACTGTATGTTATGAAAGCAGTTTTTCTGTAATGCTTGGAAAAAGTACTTAAACTTCTCATAAAAAGTTTATTATCTCAATTTTGTTTGACACACTGCTACTGTGCATTGTTAATTCCATTATTGCCGAATATGACCTTTGACTAATGGTATTTTTCAGGCAAAAGCTTCTAAAACAGCGAAGTACTACAGGCACAAACCGCCCTCCATCCATCTCTCAGCCTGGCTTTAATGCTGGGCTCCCTTCCGCTTCTTCCTTGCCATCGTCTGCATCTTCTAAGCACAAAACAAATGAGAAGCAGGAAAAGGGAGATAAGCAGCAGAAGCGACCTATGACTCCATTTCATCATCGACCTTCATTAACTGATGAGCTTTGCATGGAGCAAGATCCAACAGGACAGAAGCTTGGATTAGTTGGTATTGATGTCTCCTTAGAAATGCACAGCAGCAGGAAGTATGGCAAGCCAGCATCTGGACATCCAGGAAACCAGAGCAAGCCACTAAATTTGAATCCTATGGATTCTCCACGTTCTCCCATCTCTCCACTTCCACCAACTCTCAGCCCCCAACCGAGAGGTCCAGAGGCAGAAGGTTTGGAAGGAGCTCCTGTGCCCATTAATCCATTACTGTATAGTAATGGTCTAGAACTTCAGGCGATTCCCAGCCTTGATGATAAGACTGGGCTTTTATCACAAAGACTACCACCGGTGCCGGAGGTCAGTGAGACTACTCTATACAATGGTATCACTGCACAAAATTTGGAGTCATCGGACAGAATCTCATGGCAGTGTTACAAGACTCCAACCCATGTAGAGGGAGATTTCAGGCCACCAGAACTGCACTGTGACAGATGTGACAATAAAATTGATAATCCAGATGGCTCAGCACTAAGACGGTAATATTTTTGGTATACTATTTCCTTTGTGTTGATTTGGCTTGTATCTTTATTGCATTCAAGTTTTTCAGGTGATCCACTGAAGTTTGATTTGAGGTTTTTTAAAATGTACATAATCCAGGATCTACCCATTTATAAGGGTTCATGCATTCAAAACCTTTGAGGTTTAGAGAGTATTTAATGCACTATTCAACACTATTATTTAAATTAGCTAAATCTAATTCAAGATGGATGCTCAAGGGCTGGTAAATGTGGCATCGGACAGTTTAGGTGAAATGGTCAATAGGCAGTTGGACTCTGTAAACCAAAATTGTGTCTTGCATAATCAGATTGTAAATTTGAGAGCAGTAGATGCATACAATTTCTCAAATGTCTTCCTGGATCCAAATTTATAGGTGAAAAGACACTTAAAATTCAAATATGGTTTTTAAAAAAAAGGTTTGCTTTGCACTCCAGGCTCTGTTCTAGTTTTATTTACATTTTCTTTCACTGATAAAACAGTATCTAGATGTTGTTGCACACTGCCCGACCTGTGCACATGTCCACACACCCTAAAACACTTTAATGGTATTGCATAGTGGACCTTTTCACTTTCTCAAATACTAAACTTTTTATTAACCAATACCTGATCAGTTCACATTCAGAATTGTTACCAATAATAAAGCATATTTACCACACTCTTTATGAAAAACTATAAAAGAGCAAGTTGCATTTTTTTGGCAATTTGGGCAGTAACTGTTAGGCTGCTTTTCAATAAGTGCTTTAGTACTGAATTTTTCCAATGAATTTGAGAGAGTGTGAGATTTTTTTTTTCATTTTTCAAATGAGATGATGCTGAAAAAGATCGCATTTCAAAATGACTATTTCTAGAAAATAATGGCTTGAATTTCTCAGGAATTCCAAGAATCTGGAGGATGAGTGAAATTGAATGGGAAAAGTAAAATGGCCTTTTTTGCATTAGTAACTGGGAAGATTAATGAGAGGAAATTAAAATAGTTGCCTTTGTGTAGGAAGCATGAAACAAAAAAAGTAAGGGCAAAAATATAGTTGAAACTTAGTAAAAGAAAGGAGGCAAAATGACTACTTGGAACTAATGTGTAAGTGGATATTTTTGAAGAGGTGGGAATAAAAATTAGCTCATGAAACACAGTACTAAGGAATAATGTCACTATGAAAGATTTTTAAAAATTTTAAATTACTTGTGCAGGTCATTCTGGCACTGTTGCCTCAGGTATCCTTCAAGGTTCTATTGTTGGACACCATGTATTTCCTATTTACAGGCCATCCGTTGGTGACAACATCCAAAATAACTCAGATTTCACATGTATGCTGACGCCATCAAACTCTACCTCCCCATCACTCTTTGCAACTCTTTTACTGTTGGTAAATTATCAGTAATTTAAAAACAGGTGGTTCATAATCAGAAGTTTCTTCCAATTAAACATTGGGAGCAAATCCTCTGTTTTCGGCTGCTGTTCCATATTTTGACAAGCTTACTAATTCCATTCCTCTTTTTGGCAAAAGTCTAAGATGGAACAAGTCTGTATGCAACCTTGATGTTACATTTGACCCATAGATGAGCTTCCGAACGTTTGTTCCAGCGCTAAAGCAGCTTATTTTCACTCCTGTGACATTTGTCTGACTTTACTACTCTCTGGTTCTTCTGCTGAAGTCCTTATTCAAGCTTATGTTTTTTTTGCACTTGTGTATTCCAATGCACTGACGATTCGTCTCCCATGTCCTGTCCTCTAATGTTGGCCTTGACCCTCCCTATCTCTGTAATTCCCCTCCACCCCCCCAATCATTTGAGATGACCAAGATCCTTTAATTCTGGCCTCTTGAGCATCCCCAATTTTAATTGCTGTGTAGTTCGTGATAGTGCCTTCAGCTGCCTCAGCCCTAAGCTCTGGAATTCCTCTCTCTGCCTTTTCATCTCTGTATCTCACTTTCCACCTGGAGGGTTACCCCTTTAAATCTACCCCTTAGGTCTAAGTTTTGGTCTTCACGTGCTTATCTTCATATGTGGCTTGGGTTCGTATTTTATAATACTCTCATGAAGCTTCTCAAAATGGTTTATTATGTTAAAGATGTTATATAAGTAAACTCGTTGATACTTGCATTTTATACTTCCCCTTTAACTTCTAAATTGTCTTTTCAACCTCTTTCCTAAGCTGCCCATATTCTTAACTGATGTTGACTGACTTGTTTATTTCCAGCATCTTCTACTTTTCATCTAAAGTTCTTTGCTTCATTTTTAGACTTCTAGCACAGCCCCATAAACGATTCAAAGTTTCAGAAGAAAGTTTACAAATGCAAATCCAGGAAATTAATTATCTGGATCCAACTAGACTTATCCAGCAGCGTACTGAAGGTCCCGGAGAACTTAATGACCCTTACACTTTTGTGGATGGCGATATTGAATACAGCTTCACTTCGATTAAAAAGTCAAAACTTGGTTCTGAGAAAGATACATCAAAGAAATCACAACCGAACAAGGTAATGTTTTAAAATCATTATGCAAGTATACGTGCAGGGGTGCATCCTATTTTGTGGGATGCATTTTTCAGAGTCAGGTTTCATCAAATTTTTTTGTTCGAGTTGGACTGTTCATTTCAATGTTACGAAAGATGGAACATTGGTAAAAACAAATTGTTCCTGATAGTTCACCATTTGTATCACAGAATAAGTGGGTACAATTCTTAACTTTGAAGGATGATTTAGAATCTCATTTCAGTGCTGCAATTTGTTTTCCTTTGCACGTACTTTTACTATTTTATGTATCCGAACCATACACCAAAGATTTTCATCAGTACAATATTGTTCTCAAATTTGGCACATCAGCATGTTTCCAATTTGTGGACACTCTTAAATCTAGAGTTATCCTAAATGATCCTGGGACTGAGTGCATGCAGTTATTGGGTAGGAAAATCTAAATATTTATTTTGTACAAATCTAATTTAGTCCAGAGTTTGTACTTGACATTAAACTGAAAGTTACAGTTTATGTAGTTGCCAGCCTTAAGCCAGGTTACTTTCAAAGGTTCCAGTGAAAGAGTAGCTGAAATTGATTCCTTACTAAATGAGTCAGATCGGCCTTTTGTGCTAGGAGCATAAAAAATTAAGTTCTGTTGCAGTTCAGCACCCGAATGTGACTTAGAATAGAGTGTTGGAGCTAAGTGCTTCAGGGATTGAATAGAGAAAGGGAAAGAGGTCTTCTGTTGTTTTTGCCTAAACACTTTCAGCCTCCAGGACTTGATTCTTACTCCGTTACAGGAGAAAATTCTAATTAATTGGTGAGTATCTTGTAAGTGGTTTATTTTGTTCCTAAGATTCAGCTATTGGAAAGGTTAATGGAATATATAAAAATATACGTAAATACAGAGTTACATGCAAGAATTAAGCAGTTGCTTAGAACATGTTAAAAATGATGGGACAGGCAATGTTACAGGTTTTAGAGTAGATTTGTAACTCGGGTTGTGGGTGTTGAGGTTGGTTGGCTCGCCTAGCTGGTTTGTTGTTCTGCAGACGTTTCGTAACTATGCTGAGTAACATGCTCAGTGCAGCCTCCGATGAAACGTCGGTGTGTTTTCTCGCCTGGTTTTTAAACTCTGGAGTCCATTGAGCTGGATTGCCTCACTTCCGGTTTTCCTTTGTAGTGGAGTGTATATGGGGTCAAGTTCTATGTGTTTTCTTCGTGGAGTGCCAGGCTTCTAGGAATTCCCGTGCCTGTCTCTGCTTAGCTTGTCCCAGGATTTTGGTGTTGTCCCATGTCCCAGGATTTTGGTGTTGTCCCACCAATGATTCTGCATAATCAGCATGAGCAGCTAGATGCCAAATTGAGTAGTAGAGCCTTAAAGTTCATAATCTGTACATTATTGTATGAGCCGCATGCAAGTTGTAATAGGACAGTCAGATTAGAGAGATCAATGTGTGGCTTGAAGCCATGTGGAAGAAGTGGCTTCCTGTTCCTGGGACACTGGCACCAGTACTGGGGAAAAGTGGGATGTGTACCGATTGGTCAGCCTCCACCTGAAGCATGACGTGGCCAGTGTTTTTGCCAACTGCTCCATGAAGGAAGTGGAGAGGATTTTAAACCGAATGGTAGGGAAGATGTAATTTATCAAATAATGCAGTCAAGACTAAAGAGGAAGGTATTAATACAGGAAATGACAAACAGAGTGTGAATCTGTGTCAGCTAACAGATAGGACTAGAATTTACAATGACTCAAACGATAAAAAGGTTATTGTATCTGAATGCAAATAGCATTTGAAATGAAACAGTTCGCAAATAGAAATGAATCAGTATGATCTGGTAGTTGTCAGAGATTTGGCTGTAGAATGTTCTAAATCTTGAATAGAACAGGACATTTGGGGATGACAGGAAATTAGTGAAAGGATGGTTATGTTAGGTAATGATGGTGTTAGCACAAAAGAGAAGGGTGGCCTAACTTTAGGAAACCAAACTATGGAAATGGTTTGGGTAGAATTTAGAAATGATAAAGGTAAGAATTCTGTTGTCCGAGTGGTGTACAAGCCATAACACTAATCACACAGAAGATCGATATGAAGGAAGAAATAGTGAGAGCTTGTCAGACAGAATAATCATGGGGAGATTTTGGGCAAAGTCCAATGCACAAAGAAAGCCTAAATGAGTTCATAGAATGTTTTCAGGATGGCATTTTAGAGTAGCACATTTGCAGCTGACTAGCGAACAGGCTATCCTCGACTTGATATTGTGAAATGAAATCAGATTGATTAATGATCTCAGCCAAGGTGCCCACAAGTAGCAGCAACCGTAATATGATTGAATTTTACATTCTATGATTCTAGTGAAATGCTTTTATAGCTCAAATGCAAGTGGAATGGAAGTTTTAAACTACGGGTTATGACCTTGTTTAAGACAATGGTTATTCTAAATGAACATATAATTTATATTGCTAATTTGTAGCCTCTTAAACAGTCAAAAAACTCTACTTAAAAAAAAACGAAACAACTGCAGACTCTGTAAATCAGGAACAAAAACAAAGTTGCTGGAAAAGCTCAGCAGGTCTGGCAGCATCTGAGAAGGAAAAAAGAGTTAACGTTTTGGGTCCGGTGACTCTTCCTCAACAGTTCTGAGGAAGGGTCACCAGACCCGAAACGTTAACTCTGTTTTCTCCTTCACAGATGCTGCCAGACGTGCTGAGCTTTTCCAGCAACTTTGTTTTTGTTCCAAAAAAGTCTACAAAAAAGTTAACAATAAAGGACATTTCATAAGGATAAAAACATCTTTGTGTGAAAAGTTGCTGGGATGATTGTGGTTTTAAGAGCCTAAAACAACTTTATTTTTAAATCTGGCATGATTACATATATTGGAATCTTTCCATTGAGTTACTGAAACATCATTTTCATTTCATAATAGCTTGATCTATTCAGTCATGTTATTCTTTAGTTCAGATCTGTGTGCCATTTGACCCATTGATCAAGTTTCAAATTTTTCTTTTCAATCTAGTTGTAAGTTAGTTAATTTTGGGGGAATTAACTGATTACCTGCCTTCACCTTTTAAACAAGACACCCTGTGTGATAGGAAGGATATAATTAAGTTCGAGGGGTTTCAGAAGAAATTTACCAGGATGTTTGAGTTACAATGAAAGGCTAGATAGCTGAGACTTTTTTCACTGGAGCATACAAAGTTGAGGTGACCTTATAGAAGTTTATAAAATCATGAGGCATATAGATAGGGTTAATGGGTAGGTGTATTTTCCCTAGGAACTGGGGAATTTCAAGACTAGGTGGTATATTTTTAAGGTGAGAAGAGAGAGATTTAAAAAATACATGAGGTGGTTCGTGTATGGCATGAACTTTGTGAGGAATTGGTGAATGTGGGCACAATTACAATGATAAGAGGGAAATGGGTCCAAGGCTATTTTTTAAAAATTTAAATAAGGTCATTTATGAGGTATGAAAGCAGAGCTGGCTAAAATGAACGGGCAAATTAAGTTCAAGGATAGGTCAATAGCAAACGCAACTCCTTGATTCAAAAGGAAGGACTGAAAACCAGAAAATGTGGACCAGTTAGTTTAACATCATGCAAAATATTAAAGTTTTTAGTAATGAAGTTAGGGGTACACTTGTTAAACAAAGGCAGACCATCCTTTGAATGTGTTCATCCATAACAGATTGATGACTGATACAGAGGTAAATGTGCTTTTAGTTTTAGTTCTTTGGTAATTTCTTTAAAATAGAGCAGAAAGTAACTTTTGGACAATGTTCAACATTTCCAAGAAACCATGTAACATGAGCTCAGTGATCAAGTGAATTGCCTAGGGAATTAATTGCTGAATGTTTACCAAGTTCAGCTTTATGATATCCAGAAATAGTTGGTTAGGGGCGACTGACGTTAAGTTTAAAAAAAGTTGTTACAGCAGCGGAGCAAGTTTATGTTTGTACAAGACTCATGGCTGATCGAGTTGGCCTGTCTGGCCATGTCAGAGCTGATCTATTTCAGCAGTTGAGGAAGAAAATGGGAAAGAGTGAGTTAGTCTGTATTTGAGTGTGTTTGGGAGAATGAGACCTAATCATATCTGATGAATGTGCAGAGAGTCAGTTAAGTACAAAATCTTAAAAGTGAAGATGGGAGTGATACTTTACTGGAGTTTGAAAAGGATATTGCTGGGATAAGAGTTGAATTTTTCTTTAAGCTGTTTAAGATGACACCTTTCTGAAACATACAAAACTGTGTTTTCTTTTGTGAAATAAATTTTAAGTTATTTCATTAAAAGAGCATTAGCATGTGAATATGTTCAGTGACTGACCATCACTAGAACCAAATTGCAAAAAAAAACTGATGAATTGTCAAGCCAGGTTTCACTCTGGGATTTAGCCTGTACCAAAATTATATCTGCTGGGTTCATAATGCCTGTGATATGGATAGGCTAAGGAAAAGCAAAAACTTTAGTGCAGCTGCAATATTTTCAAACTTGAGGTTTAAAACGTTTATATTTTCACTGCACAATATATATTATTTGATTTGAAGCTGTTAATAATCATGTGAAAATACATTCCAAGTCAAAATAAGCTCTTCTGTAACTATCCAGATTGCTTGTGAAACACATTTAGGATCATTTTACAATCCAGTTTTGTGGAAGATACAACTTTAAATCATGTTATTTTGCAGATGGATTTAGTTAACTAGCAACCTCAAAGTATGTTCTTCTATTTCACTTTGACTATGAGAATCCAATTGTAAAATTGGTGAGATTCAACTAAAATTTTTTTCCACATCATGGATAATTCCAACAAATTCATTGTGTTGTACGCAAGCTTTTTTAAAAGAAAAAAAAATAGATTCGGGTTCCAGAGTGTAAATGTAGATTAAAACAATGGAGTAGAACAGATTTATTCCTGAACCTGTGTTGTTAATAACATTCCACCAAAAGAATACACTTGGCTTGAATGTTTAACCTGAAGGAAGTAGGAGGAGGAAAATATTCTAGAATCTTTAAACCCTGCTTGTTGGATAGAATGTGTAGTTTACAAATTATGCAATAACAGAAATATAATCTTGTAGATAAGACTGAACATATTTCAGATTATATTGATTTCCTTTACAGCTCGAAGATGGATTTGGTACTAGGGAAACTCAGTCTAGTCATGCTACACAGTTACTTGATGGAAAAGATGCCATGTCTATTTTTAACACTGCTCCAAAATCAGGTATCTGACATTCCCGATTATATTAAAGAGCATCTGATTACATTAACCTCCCTTGAAAACAATCAAAAAAAAGTTTTACAAATCATTTAGTTGATAAAACCATTAGGCTATTGCAATGTTTGTTTTTTTTTGTTTAGAAACACGACAATCTCCGACAGGACGGCTAGTTCCTGCAAGCCTCACACGAGAGACTGACCTAGTGGTATCTTTGAATGACCTGGACAATCTTTTTGACAACTCTGATGATGAGGAAAATGGGGTAAGTGCAGTTTTATATTTGCAGCAGGTGACATAAATTAAGAAATAATGCATCATATTTGAGCGTCTGTTGCTAATGAGATCTAAATGTCACCAGTTTATCTCTGATGGCTTGCTTCAAGAGTTTGGAAAGCTGCTCACTGTTAATTTATTGAGCTCCCAAATACTTGACAATTGAGTGCTACGTATGCGTATGAGTAAATACATAAATTAATGTAGCAATCTAGAAAGCTATGAACACTTTTTTGATTTAGTTTCCCAACAAAATGTTTCATAATTTTGTATTGAGCTTTTAGAACTAATAAGTTACCAAAAGTAAATTTCTGTCAGGATTAATTAATTAAAATTATTGCTTTAGCTTCTATTTCTTGATATAAAGCATATAAACAATAGCTAGCTAATCAGTGAGAAGTCAGATTGTTTTCATGCCAGTATTTTATTTCTCACATGTGAACATGCAAATTGTCTTTTTATCAATATGCATTTCTAATTTTATGAAGTACTTGAATTGTTTTTGAACAGAATTTGAATAGACTATCAAATCTGATCTCTATGTAGCAGTTATTTGTTTTAATAAGGTTCCATACACCTGAGCTAAAACTGGCCAGTTTTTATAATGGTTTTACAACTCTAGCTTTTATTCATTTTTGTACTGTGGAAATTTTCTCCCTTCCCTTTAGGTTATTTTGATATTTGCATTTTTCCTTTTTATTGGCATTTTTCCTTTTTATTGGCATTATAATCTTCCAATAAAAATATTTAAAATGCAAGTGCTGTTCCTGGCATTTAAATAGTAGGTCCAGAATCTTGTTCCGTTGCTCCAGCGTGGAACCTGTCACAAAGAGTCTCTGAAGCAGTTGCTAATAACAGGAAATCGACAAAACTCAGTGAAAATGGAATCCTTATTTGAACACTTGCAAACATTCGCTACTTGTGACCCATTGAAATTCTTGTCGCTTGACACATGATCTCTCTCACACTGGTGTTCTATTTCTTATAATATTATTGATTTTTACAGAGCTGCATTACAGGGAAGGAATTAAAAATGTGGTGTCAAACCTAGCTGTTTGCTTTATTCAAAATGAAGACCACAAAAAGCTCAAAGCCATATTTGGATATCTAAATTCCCAGAGGTGTTACAGTGGAGATGCAGATCATTCGGCCCATTGTGTCTGCAGTTGCTCTTCACATGAGCATTAAGATCTGCCAATCCCGTGTCTCTCCCCCATAACCTTTTAGGTTATCTTTATTCAAGAAATCAAATACCCCTTAACATTTTTGAATGCCTCAGTTGAACTGCCTCCACCTCACTTCATGGTGGTGCATTCCAGACCCTAACTATTCGCTGTGTGAAAAAGTTTCTCACCTTGCATTTGGTTCTTTTGCAAATCACTTTAAATCCGTGCCTTCTGGTTTTTTTTGATTTTTGTTATGAATTGAAACAGTTTCTCCTCATCTACTCTATTTAGATCCCTCATGATTTTGAAAACCTCTATCAGATCTCTTCCCTGTCATTTTCTGTTCAGGAGAATAGTCCCAACTTTTTAAATCTATCCTCATAACTGAAATTTTTCATCCCTTGAGCCATTTGTATAAATCATTTCTACACAGTCTCCAGTGCATTTACATCTTCCTAGACCGCGGTGCCCAGAATTGTATGCAGTGTGCCAGTAGAGATCTAACGAGTGACTTCTACAAGTTCAACATTCTTCTTTTCTCTTTTGCTCTATATCCCTCTTAATAAAGCCAAAGATCCTGTATTCTTTATTAATGGCCCTCTCTCAAACTGGTCTGCCATCTTCAGTGATCTGAGCACGTATACACCTGGGTTCTTCTGCTCCTACACCCCCATTGGAATTGTGCTCCCTATTTTTGTATTGTTTGTTTCTATTTCTATCAAAATGCATTGCCTCACACTCCCCTACATTATGTCCATGTCCTTTTGGAGTTTGACACTGTCCTCCTCACGGTTTACAGTTCTTCCATGTTTTCTGACATCTGTATATTTTAAAATTGTCCCTTACAAACCAAGATCTAGGTCATTAATATATATCAGGAGAAGTAACAGTGCCAATACTGACTACTGGGGGGCCTCCACTGCAAATGTTCCTCCAGCCCAAAAAATACCTGTTGACCACTGCATTGTTTCCTTTCATTCAGCTAATATTGTAGCCACCTTGCTACTGTCCCTTTTATTTCATGACCAGTTACTTTTGTCACAAGCCTGTTTGGCAATGTATCAAACGCCTTCCAGAAGATCATGTACCCTACATCAATAGTGTTACCTTCATTGAGCTTTTCTGTTAGTTATTCAAAAATCTCCAAGTTCGTTAAACGTGATTTCCACTTCAGAAATCTATACTGACTCTTCCTGATCAACCCACCTTTTTCCATGTGACCATTAATGCTGTCCTAGCTAATTGTTTCTTGAAGCTTCACCACCACTGAAATTAAACTGACTGGTCCATAATTGGTGTGCTTATTCTTACAACCATTTTTCAACAATTTTCCAGTTTTCTAACCCTCCACCACATCTAAGGAAGACTGGAAAGATAACGGCCAATGACCCTGCAATCTCTACTCTTGCTTTCTTTACTTGGATACATCACATCCAGATCTGGTGCCTTGTTAATTTTAAATATCAACACTCTATCCAACACAATTTCTGTGTCAATTTTAAACTCTAATAGTGACAGAGTTTCGTCCTCAGTCACCAAGACCTAGGTGGCATTTCCCTCCTTTGCAAAAATAAAAATGTATTCATTTAATGCCTCAGCCATGCCTGCTGCCTGTGTGTGTAAAATCCCCTTCTGGTCTCTTATCAGCCCTACTTCTATTGCCTTCCTTACCAGTTGTATGTCAGAAACCTCTTTATGTTGGCTGCCAGACTTTTCACATAATTCCTCTTTGTTTCTCTCATTTGCCTTTTCACTTCCTGTTTGAACCTTCTGTATTTCTCTTGGCTCTCAATTATATTTTCTGCCTGCTGCCGAGCATTTAGCACATCTTTATTTTAATTTCTATCTCCTTTGTCATCCAGGAAGCTCTGGATTTGTATTTCCTACCTTTCCTATTCGAGGCAGTATACTTCAACTATCTCCTTTTTGAAGGTAGTCCATTGCTCAGTTACAGTTTTTCTGTCAGCCTCTTTCTAGTCAATCCTGCCCTGCTCAGACCTTGTCCCATTGAAAACAAAAACAGAAATTGCTGGAAAAGATCAGCAGGCCTGGCAGCATCTGTGGAGAAAAATCAGAGTTAATGTTTCTGGTCCAGTAACCCTTCCTCAGAATTCACTCGACTCAAAAGGTTAACTCTGATTTTTCTCCACAGATGCTGCCAGACCTGCTGATCTTTTCCAGCAATTTCTGATTTACAGTATTCACAGTTCTTTCGGTTTTTCTTGACCCATTGAAGTCAACAATCTGCCAATTTATTTTTCTTATTCTGAATGGATACTTGTCATTCTTCACCATCATCCTGAATCTTGTTATAGTGATCGCTGTCTCCTAAATGTTCAACCACAGACACTTGGTCCACTTCTTTTTCCAAGAACCATGTCAAATAATACATCCTTGTTGAACTGGACACAAACTACTGTAGGAAACCCTCCTGCACACAATCCAGGAACGTTTAAAGCCCTCCCAACAGACCTAGCAAAACAACCCACAAGGAGCCTAATTCCATCATTGTACAGGTTCCATCTTCTCCAGAGCCAGCCCAAGTGCCCCAGGAATCTCAAGCTCCCTATTCTGCTTCACCTTTCTGGCCACACATTCTCCTATTTCTGTAGTCACTTCAACGTGGCACTAGGAGTGATTCAAAGATTACTGCTTTGAACTCCTTGCTAATTTTTGTACCCAGCTCCCTAAATTCTGATTGTGGGACCACATGCCTGTCCTTGTGCATGTCATTAGTAATAATTTGGACCAAAACCTGTGACTGTTCCACACCCACCCCTGCACACGCACTCCCCCACGTGCGCGCGCGCACACACACTCACACACACCCCCCCACGCACGTAAGAATTCTTCCAGCTGTTCTGTGATATATTTGTTACTGGCACAAGGGAAGCAACGTGCCATCCTGGAGTCACATTCATAGCCACAGAAAAGCTTGTTCATCCCCCTAACTATTCAATCCTCCATCGCTATTGCTCCTCCTTTCTTCTTCCTCCCCTCTTCTACAGCTGAGTTGTTTGTGGTGCCATGAACATGGATCTAACTTTAGTCTCTTTAGGAATCGGTTTCCAAAATGGATAACTGATTTGTGAGTGGGATCCTTGGGGATTCTGCACTACCTAGCATGGTTCTCTTGGACTGCCTGAAAGTCATCCATTCCCTTCCTTTCTCTGGGCTCATAAGTTGCAGTGTGACCACCTTTCCACCTAACTCTGAAAGCCAGAGCTCCAGTTTCTGCAACTGAAAGCTCTTCCTGCACATGTGGTCATCTAAGACACTGATGTATCCCTGGAATACTTAGTAAATGAGAACCCATTGTTTAAAAACCAAAACTAGGAAGTTTTAATACCGATGACAATCCTGACCTGTAAGAGAACTTTTCTTCCCTTCTACCAGAAGAATATTCATCCCAGTTTCAAGTTACAACTAGTTTCAGATGTTTCATTCTTTTCACAACATATGAAGGAACAGGATATGTTTGTGTTGCTAGTCAACGTAGGAATGTCAGCTTCATTCGACTTCCAACCATTGTAACATTTTCATATCAATGTCCAGATGTTGTCTTGCTCCCTGCATGCTGCTTTATTACTGCTGCAAAAAGCACAAATTCTCAAATATGCCTTCAGAATAATCGGTCGCTGGATATAGGGTTGAAACCTATTAAGTCTGCTTTGCACTTGGATAACTCCAGTTCTGCTGAGCACATCAATTGCAGGAATATGTAGCTTTGCAGTTATTTCCACAACGTTAAGATGACTTTCTTTCTTGAATTATTGGACCTTGAGAATTAAACTTCTGCAGAGCTTTAACATTTAGTTTTGATAGAGAAAGGAATTAAGTAAAAGTTCAATGGCTGTAATTCTAATATTTTTTTGCTGCAGCTAAAATTTAGTTAAGCCATGATGTAAAACTACTACAGTGTACACACATACTTGTGAGAATGCACTTGAAGAAATTGTGCAAAAATGCATTAATTTTTTTCGGTTATCATACTATTAATTTTCCTTTTGGTCCATAATTCTTACTCTCATTTAGAGGGTCCAAACTAAGCCTAAAATATTACCAAGAATTATTTTCAGAAATGAAAAAAAAAGTTTATTAAAAGACGACAACTATCTATTGCAGACATCTTCTCCAACACGCTCTAAGCAGGCAAATACGGGATCAGAAGACAAAGCTGTTGGAAAAGATGTGAAGACAACAGGGCCTTATCCTCCAAGTAAGTGTTTATGGTAGTGTTACTGTTTTTCAGAATGTTACAGGACATAGTACGTAAAATATTCAAAAAAAATGTAATTTTTTAAAGAAAATTTGAAAATGAAATACACTTTTAAACATTGCTTTGGGGTGATTTTGACATTTTGAGAAAAATAAACTGAATTGAAACCAAATTTTGAGCACTTCCTGAGCAAGTATAAATTTGGATTTGTTTGCAAATAATGATGAGCTTGGTTTCTTCCAGCTGTCGCAGATCTGCAAAGAATGTTTCCAACCCCTCCATCCCTGGAGCAACATCCAGCATTTTCTCCAGTAATGAATTATAAAGATGGTGTTAATTCTGAGATGCCTGCAGGGATGAATAGCATGGAGAATCCAGTGGGTACTATGACTGCAACTCAATTCACAGAATTCAAAATGCAAGTGGAAGATCGACTGGGCAGTCCTAAGCCTGAAGAAATAACAGTTAGTAAATTTGGTGGAAAGTTTTATAGTCGGATCTTGTGTATTCTTTTTAATATTTTTAAAGGGGTTTGTTACTATTTTACTAATGTTTTAATAAATCCTGAAGTTGTGTTATGCTTTTTTGACTACATAATGTCTGTCTCTGAGGTAATTTTTTATGGTTCTATATATTATAGGATTTCTCTTACGTGCACAAGCCCCCAAAAGCCAAGGCTTTTGTTGGGTCTTCAATGTTTGCACCACTGAAGGCCGTGCCCAGTCAATGCCTTGCTCCACTGAAAATGCCAGATGCCTGCATTTACCGACCATCATGGGCTATTCCTCCAAAAATCGAACAACTGCCTGTACCACCACCTGCTTCACTAAATCGAGATGGATATGTGTAAGTGCTGGAAAACCTTTGTGGCAAGTTACATGCATGGAACTGGGTAGGAACTACCTAAGTATAGCAAAACATTTCTAACTTTGGAAGTTAAAATTTGAAAAAAGTCTCTCTTTTAAGAGATAACACAGTGTGGAGCTGGAGGAACACAGCAGGCCAGGCAGTATCAGGGCCACAGGAAAGCTGACGTTTCGGATCGGGACCCTTCTTTAGAAATGGGGAGGGTGTAGGGACTCTGAAATAAAGAGAGAGAAGAGGGGTGGGGCTGGGGAAGGTAGGTGGGATGGCGATAGGTGAGTGCAGGTAGGCAATGGTGGGGTTTGGTCAGTAAGGTGGGAGGAGCGGGTAGGTGGGAGAGAAGGCGGACAGGTCAAGGAGGCGGGGATGTGAGGGAGGGTTGGCCATGGGATGAGGTCGGGGGTGGAGAGAATTTGAAGCTAGTAAAGTTCACATTGAGACCATTGGGTTGTAGGCTCCCAAGGCGGAATGAAGTGCTGCTGCTCCAGTTTCCGGGTGGCGTCGTTGTGACACTGGAGGAGGCCCAGGATGGACAAGTCGTCCAGGGAGTGGGAGGGGGAGTTGAAGTGGTTCGCTTGAGTTACATTCAAGAAGCATATCAACATTTTTCTAAAACTAGCTCTTCTTCTTACAGCAATGTGCCTAGTGTTGGGAGTCTGACAGAAGATTATATTCAAATGAGCACTCCTCAAATGAGCACACCTTTGGCAGTAAGTTCGACTGCACCTGCCAGCAACAGTGGTGCTGGTGTGTTGCCATCTCCAGCAACTCCTCGCTTCTCTGTCCCAACACCTCGTACACCAAGGACACCACGAACTCCACGGGGTGGGGGCACTGCCAGTGGGCAAGGATCAGTGAAGTATGACAGTGCTGATATGTGTTCTCCTGCTTCAACGCCCTCAACTACACGACCGTTGAACTCCGTGGAGCCAGCAACCATACAGTCAATTCCACAGGCACACAGCTTGTATGTTACGCTAATCCTGTCGGATTCGGTAATGAATTTCTTCAAAGATCGCAACTTTGATAGCTGCTGTATCTGTGTTTGTAATATGAATATCAAAGGGGCAGATGTTGGTTTATACATCCCAGATCCAACCAATGAAGCCCAGTGTGGATGCACCTGTGGATTTAGTGCTGTCGTAAACCGCAGACTTGGATATAATGCAGGTCTCTTTCTCGAGGATGAATTTGATATTTTTGGGAGGACATCTGAGATTGGTCAAGCTGCAGAAAGACGATTGATATTGTGTCGAAATTCTGTTGTTCCCCAAGGATTTGATGGGTCAAAGAGGCTACAAGATCTAACAGCAAGCTTAATTTTCCTTGTACAGGATCAGTGTACAGGACCTTTCACTTCTCTAAGTTCTCTGGACTACATTTCCTTAGATAGATCAGCACTTCAATCAGCAAATTGGAACAATGACAAACTGAGAGCAGATAATAGCGATTCTTGCACAGAGTGTTACAATGCCCTGGAGCAGGGTCGACAGTATGTGGATAATCCATCTGGTGGAAGAATAGATGAAGCACTAATTAGAAGTAGGAGTTTGCACCCATGGCCCAATAGTAACGGTAAGTTTTCTGTTGCATTGCAATCTTAATGTGAAACTACATAAATTGGTCAACGTGTAATTAACTCTTTTTATCGACTGAGATTATAATGAGTACTATTTTTAAATTTCCAGCAAATTTTGACAAATGTCGTCTTCCACAAGATATTGAATCATTGTAACAAAATGTTTTTCAATATATTGTGCAAGAAAGGCTTTAAAGCATATTCCTGAAGTCATCAATCTGTGCTATCCCTTACTCTGGAAAATGTTATAAACATAATTTATGTTGAAGCTATGCATTGCCATTGTTTCTGCAACAGTATTTGGGGATGGGAATCTATAATATCGGATATCTAAAAATGCTACAGTTTTCATGTTGCCACCAGAATATGCATTGATATTTTAGGCCTGTACTGGGAGTTATGTCTGGGAATGGGGAAGCTTGGTTCTGGACATTAGTTGGGTTTTGTTTGTAAAGGGGAGGTCTTGTTGATAGAATTTTGGGTTTGAGTATTGTTCTGGACCGAGTTATTAATGAAATTTTTTGTTCCACTGCTTTCTTGCCATGTTAATCTGTATGCTTTTCATTAAGGTTTATTTGAATTGATTTTTGGGGCGCTATCGAGAGAGGGTTGAACTTGAAATCTTAAGCATTTCAAGACCTAGACAGAGTTTTACTTGGTTTGCTAGGGATGGGGAAATTATTACTGACCTGCCATTTAGCTGCTTCATCAATTATGAATGTGCTGTCCTTCATTATAGGAGATGCATCTTGCAGCTAAGGCTCAGTTATATTCAACAGTATAGTTTGGGAAGGTTAGAGAATTGGAAAGAGCTTTGCATTGAAATATATAACCTTGTGATTTTTGATTCTGGTTGGATTGTGAGGATATCATGGCTTCTTTTGACTGCAGTTTAGGATATTGGTTTACAAGAGTATAATCAGCATGAACGTACTTTCTGAGGTTCATATGGCAAAATAAATTTTAAAAGTTTGAAGCAGTCTTATGTATGAAAGTGAACTGAAACTTGTCTGTTGTAACTGAAATAGATTGATGAAAGCCACTTTACAATGATTGGAACTCAAATGCAAAGGAAATTAAGGTAGATTCAATTAGATAAACTCTTCCTCAGACCTGGTCTTGACTATTGTGTTCAAGTCTTGGCACATACCTCAGGAAAGATTTATTGATTTCGTCAAAGGTATAGCAGATTTCCCATAATGTTACCAGATTTTAAAGGATTCAGTTTAAGGATCGGTGTATGCATTTAACTTGAGTACATGGGGTCAAAGTCATGTAATTGAGGTGTTTTGAAAATACATAGGCCTTGATTTTATGGGTAATGTTTGAAGAAAGCAACCTACAAAGATCTTGAGAGCTGAGAGCCCTGGATTTTTGGTATCCAACAGAAAAGATGTCATCTAAGCAGCCAATCCTATTGGAAATGTTCTCGGACAACAAGTTGAGGCACTGATCAGCCATGAGCTAATTTAGTGCTGAAACAAATTCAAAACTGAATATTTATTTTATGAACCAGCTATAAGTATCTGTGGTGAAGGACACTAAAATTTCAGCATAGAAATATTCAGCCCAGCCAATCTCATAAAAAAAGTACCTATGAGTAGGCGCAATTAGCCAACCTGTTCCTATGTCCCATTGCCCTCCTCACTTTCGCTCATCTGTCAAATTTTACCCTGAACTACTCACCCATAAACCATGGAAAACATACTCACTTGTCATTTCAAAAACTGCTAAGTCTGTGGCCCTTTACTGCAGACCCAACAACCATTAGAAACAGTCTGCTTCCACATTCTCCATCTGAACTGTTTGAAGTTTTAAGCCATTAATATATCACCCTGTAAACCCTAACATTTTAAAAGAACAACCTCAATTTTTAAAACAAATTAATTTTTGTATTTGCAATTTCCCATACCGGGCAGCATCCTAATAAACTTGTGTTGCTGCTGCTTCCAAACCACAATATTCTTTCTGCAGTACTTTGAGGTTGTCTTGAAGAATAATTTCAGCAGTGACTATGACCAGTTGGCCTTTCATGCTCGTGCCAGTTTTTTGCAAGAGCAACTTTAGCTAGACCTACTCCCCTTTTCCTGTAGCCCTGCAATAATATTTGACTGTTACCTTAAATAGGTGCCCTATGTTTCCGCTGCCAGAAAAGTGAAGAACCAGTTTAGACCTTTGATTTTGGATATCTTTATCAAATTCCCTCTCCAGTATCTCTAAGGAGAACAACCTTCCTTTTCTAATCAATCTATGTAACTAGAATACCTCTACTGTGGAGCTACTTACAAATCTTTTCAAAACCAACTGTACAACCTTCATGTCCTGCTGAAAGAGCAGTGCCCAGAATTTTATTATTTTATGATCTCTGTAGAAATTGACTTTTAAAAAGACTTAAGTTGCAGGAACTACTGACAGGATCACATGACTAGGTTTCAAGTTTTAAGACTTGTAGTAACAAACTAAAAACAACAGTGACTATACAGCAATAAACAAAAAATGAAGTCAGACAGTTGAGTAAAGAGCTCTAAACCGTCACTAATTACAGAAGGTCAAGTAACTTCTGAAGAACGTCAAGCAAAGATGTTAGTGAAATAAGAGAGCTGTTTTATTGCCCTTAATTGCTGGAAAAACTGGTTGGAAGAAACTCTGGGCCACTGTACTGATCTTAGCAATTCTGTTTAGTCTTAGTTTCTGTTTCAAAGTCCAGGGAATTAGAAGGAACAAATCTTTCAAAACCTGTGGTGAAGGCAAGTGCTTTCCCTGCTGAAATGATCCTTTGGTTGAAGTATTTAGGAACCTGGTCAAATTTCCATATCACAATATCTTGACTACATTGCTAACCCTGAAATGTTGAGTTCTGACTGCTTTCTAAAGACTTGGGTCTAGCCCATTTTCTCTATAGCCAAAGCTTGATTGGAAGGTCTTCTATCAATTTATGCCTTCAGCAATTTGAATTAGTCAGCAAGAAACCTGGTAGACTGAGTGTTTGGCAAGTTAATCTTTTATTTTTCAGAGTATTGGCCAGTAAAGGTATTTTATCTTTTTTGCTCTTTATAAATAACATCTCTGCCAATTTGAATGTTTGTTGGGGATTAAAGTGGATGTTGTTTTAATTCTGGTTTAAAGCTTAGTTGTTGGCCAGTTTTGCAACTTGATCATGGTTTAGTTTTGAGCTCATTAAAGAAAACTAGTGAAAGTGTTTTCTACTTTTGGAATACTGTATGCAGGTCTCCCTCCTATAGAAAGGATGTTGTGGAACTTGGAAGGTTCAAAAAGGATTTACAAGGATGTTGTCGGGGTTAGAGGGTTTGAGTTATAGGGAGAAGTTGAATAGGCTGGGGCTATTTTCCCTGGAGCATTGGAGGCTGAGGGGTGACCTCTTTTGAGGTTTATAAAATCATGAGGGACATGGATAGGGTGAATTGCCAAGGTCTTTCTGCAGGGTGAGGGGAGGGGGATCCAAAACTAGAGGGCATAGTTTTAAGGTGAGAGGGGAAAGATTTAAAAGGGATCTAAGGGGCAACCTTTTCAGTGGGTGGTGCCTACATGGAATGAGCTGCCAGAGGAATTGGTGGAGGCTGGTACAGTTACAAGGTTAAAAGGCAACTGGTCCTGTATATGAATAGGAAAGGTTTAGAGGGATATGGGCCAAATGCTGGCAGATGGGACTAGAGTAATTAAGGATATCTGGTCAGCATGGACAAGTTGGACTGAAGGGTCTGTTTCCATGCTGTACAGCTCTGTAACTCTATTCTGGATAGCAATTGGCCATTTTGATTGAATCCAAGCGTTCGTACTAATAGTGCGAATGGTGGAATTCAATTCCTAGCACTTTCCTCATGTCTCTGTCTTGACACTAAATGTAATTTTGTAGGCAACTTGTACTCCCAATTACAAGGCTAATGTATTTCCCCATTCCTACTTGGAAAACAATCAAAAATCCCCTACCACCATTTTGCTTATTCTTTCACAGAATGTGAATATCACTGCAAAGTCAGAATTTCATGGCCCATTCTTTATTACTATTGAGGAGTTGCATTTGTCAGCTGCTGAAGTCCAATATGCTGGATTCTATTGCAGGGGTTGTAGCACAGCACTCTGAAAATCTTCATGCGATCAAGTGGAATCAAGCTGGCTTTGTAAAAGGGAAATCATGTTTGACTAATTTATTAATGTTATTGAGGAAGTATCAAGATAAAGGGCAGCCAATGGCTGCACTGTATTTGGATTTCCAGAAGGTATTTGTCAAGGTGTCACATCAAATGTTATTAGATGAAATAGCAGCTTATCATGTAGGGGCAACATATTAGCATGGATAGAAGAATTGCTTGATAATCAGAAGCAGAGGATGGCATAAAATATTTTTCAGGTTGGCTGGATGCTGCAAGGAATCAGTGTTGGGACCTCTGGTTTACAATCTGTATAAATGGCTTGGATGAAGCAGACACCTAATGTACGGCTAAATTTGTCAATGATACAATGACAGGAAAATAAGTTGATTAGAGAACACGAGTGTACAAAGGACTATGGATAAGTATAATGAGTGGGCAAAAGTTTTTAGCAGATCGCATATCGTGCAGCAAAACGTGAATCCTGGAAAGAAGAGAACATGTTATTGCTGCTGTGATAGAACTTCTGAGATGCAGAGAAATCTTAGTGTGCTGGTGCTTGAGTTACCAAGTCAATATGCATGTACAGCAAGCGATGGATGGGAAGAGAAATGCAATGTTATTTGTTGTAAGCAGAATTGAATATAAGACTAAGAATATTTTGCTGTAGTTGTGCAGAATGTCGGTGGAATGCTGTGTATAGTTTTAGTCTTGTGTAAGAAATGATACAAATCTATTAGGAACTGTTCCAAGAAGGTCACTTGACTGATTCCTGGATGGAGGGATTATTTTAAGAGGAAAGGTTAGTCTGTCCATAGTATCTATTCGAGAATGAGATATAGTTCAAAAGGAACACAAGGTCTTCTTGGAATTTGACAGGGTGAATG